GAACTAGTGATGCCTGCTAAGGAGTTGACAGGTCTTTCCTCAGAAGGACATGGATTCTAAATTCAACCTTGGTTTGTAGAGATCAAGAATCATTTACATTTTGTGTCATGTTTACATGTGTCCTTAGTATAGTATCCCTAATATGGATACTGACAGTTTTGCCTTTGCCATCCTTGCTGTCTCCTCTGCGAGCACAGGACACACTCAGCAGCGTGTGGGCTATAAATCATATCCTCCCATATAAAAGTGAACTTTGCAAACTGAAGTCCAAGGCATCAGAGAATACCTGGCCTTTCCACGGTCAGCTGCCTGCCTCTCTTTTAGCTCCTCAACTCAGAAGGAAGCACACAGCAGCTCATTGCCTGGCTGATGAGCTTGGGACAGACAGAACTTGAAAAACATATATGCATACCTCCAAGAAGGGCACATTCCAAACAACATAATTCTCTCCGTTTTAATAGAACATTCCTTTGTGGTAATAAAACACCAGGTCACAAGTCAAAGTTTGATTCCATTATTGAGTGTTATCTTTGAACTCTAAATATAGTTGGTACAATTTTCCAGCTGTCAGACTCCAGACTCCAGGCCTCCCATTCTGAACAGAAGAATAACTAGCTAAACACTAATAACTTCTGTAATCTCTCTCGGACTAGATTAATACTGATAATTTCAATCTACAGATCACTTCAGCCAGCCAACCAACAGACTCTCAGCCATTCAAGATTACACACACACACACACACACACACACACATTTCCATACAGTGAAAAAGTATACCATACACCATCAATCAAGATTTGGGATGATTTTGAGGCATGAATAAGCATCAACATCTTCATTAGGAAATTGAGTTCTTAGAAAAAAAAAAAGCTGGGGCTGATAAAAAGACTTATGTAGAGTATCTCTCACAGGTTGTAAATGACTTTTTCCTCCCTGTGTGATATGGGCCACCAAGACGGTGGGTGGGGCAATATGGGGCAGAAGGTCCTCTAAATACTACCAGCATCTGTCTGTGTTGCACATCTGAATGCTGCTGAACAACAGTGCTGAGCCACCCAAGTGAATAAACAGCACCAACACCCACATAAAAGCTTGCTGTCTGGAATCACTGAGGAGCCCAGCTCCCTGATTTGACCACACAGACCAAGAACTGCCTGCTTCCTGGCTAGCAGGTAGTGCTGAGACGTTTCCAGAATCTGGGAGGTCCTAAGAAAGGCAATGCCCCCCCCCTCAATGTTTGCGTCTATTAAAAATCTGAGGTGAGGGTAAAATAGCAACTGCCACCTCTGAAAGAAAGGGGCAGACAATGAAGCCTCTTTCTCTTCTAAATCTGCAGAAAGAGCTGTCCTCTTGTGCTGGAGATATGTTGGAGGAGGCAAAGCAGAGCCTATAACCAGGCAGCAGGCTTGAGGCTCAAAAGGTATCCTATATTCATCCAACCATCTCTCCTAAGCATTTCTACTGCTATGGATTGGTCTGTCAGATCTTTGTTTATATTTGCCTACAGCTTGATTGCTTCAGCTGTGGACTCTATCTCAAAAGACCATCTCCTAACATGGAAAAGGAAACTACTCTCTCTAGTGGAAAACAGTCTCAGGGATATTCAGACAGCTAGCGCTCTGCTGGAAGCCTTTCTTCAGCTCAACCTGTAGGTAGGAAGATTTCAGTCTTTCCTTCTCAGAGCTGGATTCTCCTCCCCGAATTCTGCAGCTTTCTCTCTCCTCTATGTTCCTTCTTCCTTAAGGCTCACCCTCTGGGATCCTTGTCACCAGATTCAAAATAGGGCCCCGATACACTTAGCTTTTGGGTCGGGGGTGGGGGAGGGTTATGGAGGGGTAAGACGGCAGGGAGAATTGGTAAAAAGAGGCCTTGTAGGATGCTGTTAGGGCAGACGTCCTCGAATCTGAGCAAGGCGTCTTAAAATGAATGCCAAGCTGCTGCCTTGCGGGCCTAGGAACTGAACGTCGTATCTACAGCTGGGGCCCTGGGGCCGACATGACGTGGCTCCGTCAGGTGGAAACCTTACGGGTCGACTGGACCCAACTCTCCAGGGAGAACGAGGTCTAAAACCAATTCAGCTGTAGCCACAACCGCCCGGTCCCCGGGGCCCCGGGCGGAGAATGGCCCTCTCGGCCGAAGCTGCGAGCTGACTCTCGTGTATAGGGTTGCAATTCGCCGTGATAAATGTAAAGACCAATTAAGGTTTGATCCGTGCACACAGGAGGCAGACGGCGGCGGAGAGTGGAACCAATTAACGAGCATGTCCCCTAATTCCTGCGGCGGCGGCCGGGCGCACCGCCGGTCCCCAGGCTCCCGCCCCAGAAGAGCCCCCGCCTGCCGCGGCGGCATCTCCCCGCGAGCAGGAGGTGCGGGGAACGCCAGGGTTGGGGAGGGGACGCCGGGCGCCCACGGAGCCGAGCTCGTGAGGCCACGGCTGGAGGCTGGGCGCGCCCGAGTGGTCGCGCGGGCCAGCGCGGGAGGCGCCCAGGCGACGCCGTGCGCCCCGAGGGCGGAGGGCTGGTGGCCCTGGCCAGGTAGCTGAGGGCTGGAGGCGGCACGGAAGGGAGGGTCGGGCGGAGACCGCACTTGGCTGGCCTTCCTGCCGCACTGGTTCCCGGTCTCGACCGCCCGGCGCGTGACCTCCCGCGAGGTCCTGGCAATGAGCAGCGAGCGTGATTAACGGCCCCGAGGTCGCGGGCAGTGAGGCACGGGTCTCCTTTGGCCCCGCCAGGGTGGGAGGGCGCCAGGGAACAGAGTAGGGTGACGCCGGGGGTCGTTGGGACCCGGCGGTGGCAGAGAGTGAGAATGACACAGTAGGCGCCGAGCGCCAAGGCCAGCCCTCCTAGCCCCCAGGCCAGCGCCGCGGCGGGTACCGCGCAGCAAAGTTTGGAGCCGCGGGCGCCGCGCGCCGGTCCCTCCCCGCGCAGATCCCTTGGCGGAGTCTCTGCTGCCGCCGCTGCCAGGACAGGACAAAGGCTCATTAACACGTGATGGGACCACGCTTCATAAATGGGACTGGAGCGAGAGCGAGTCAGAGACAGCGCGCGAGCGGAGGGAGAGGCAGGGACCGCGATCAGGGCGCGGCGACGGGCGCTCGGGCTGGCCCAAGCGGGCCGCCCCAAGCCGGCCAGCGCGGTCAGCGGGACGCTGGGGAGAGCCAGAGAACGAAGCGGGCCTGTCCGAGCCCAGGGGCGCCAGTCCCGGGAGACCGTGGCGCACGGGTGTTAGAGGCCGGGGACGCGGGCGCGCAGACCGACTGACTTACTGACCGATCGCCGCGGGCACGCCCCGCTCTACCCCGCCCCACCGCGCCCCGCGCCGCCTCCTCTGCTCGCTCTCTGCCTCTACCTTCTCCACTTCTTTTCCGCCTCCGCCTCCTTCTGGCTCCCTTGGCGCCAGAGCCTTCCCCTGGCTCAGGCGGGAGCCAGGGCTGTCTGCAGAGCTCTCGTAGAGTCGGGGGGCAAATTTCCTTGTAGCAGAGAGCCAGCCCCTTGGCTGGGCGACAGGTGCCGAGGGAGCTTCTAGCCGGTGGACGGGGGATGCGAAGGGTAAGACCTGGCACAGTGGCGTTTGGGAATAGCTTTTCCGCCTCCCGCCCCCTCGGTACTGGCCAGTGGTCCCCAGGTGTCCTACGCGGAGTTCATGGTCCGTGTTCCAGGAGAGCAAAGTGTGCTAATGTGGTGTTTACTTAGCTGTATAGTCCCAGTTTGTTACCTGTGGTCTAAGCTACTTCTGGAGGCTTCTACCATTTACAATTTACTGAATGTGCACCTAGCTCTGCATACACTGATGGCTGTTTGTAGGAAATGTGTAATTGTGCATGTTTGAAAAACAGGCGCTTGAGTTGATGCTTGATGTCTTTTAGCCGTATCAGAAACTAAGTCTTCCAGTGGAATACATGTCTCTGCACCAAATGTAGGAAACGACTCAACTAAAATACTAAATGTCATGTAAAGAAATCTGTGTCAAATAAGGAACTTCAGATACAGAGAGATAGCTACAGTAGCCATTTCTCTTTAAGGAAAAACTAGTATGTATAGTATTGATACCTATGATTGAATGTTGTTAGGAACATGAAGCTAAGAGCTGGCACCAAGTGAATAAAGTTGATGCTTTATTTTAAAAGGATGTTTCTTGATAAGGCTTACAAGCCATAAATGAAGCAGCTCCTGAATGCAAATGTTTGCTATGATACTATGATAGATGTGAAAAACTGTTGTTTGGTCATTTCAAAGTTTAAAGCAACATGCGTGTTTCTAATTGTAGTACATGGTTTATCTCTCAAAGGTTTCAAAGAGGTGAGGAAAATGTAATAGCCTATTTAGGAAGCATTCTATTTCCTATCTTTATAATTTTCTTCCAAATAGGAGCTATTAGCTCTTCCTGCCTTTGTTTATTTCTTGACATATTAAACCTCCTTGGACATTTAATCCAATAAGAGATTAGAACAGATTTACTGGTTTTAAGGATGTTGAAAGATACCTCTCTGGGTCCCATAACTTCTCATTTTTATTGCCAACTTAATTCCTTTGAACAATGGGGCGATGCACATGCTCAGAGGAGACACAGCGGGTACTGATTATCTGTTAGGTCACTCCTGACATCAGTCTGTTTGGCAGAAAATTGAGAAACTAGGAGTAGCCGACCTCCAAGGTTCCCACAGGACTGCCTGATTTAAAGTGCTGGTCTTCTAATCCCAGCTTTTGACAATTTGAAAGGGAGATAGATCTACTGATCGATTTTTCTCTGCCCCCCTTTCCCTCCATACCCCACCTTCTCTAATTCAGTTACGAGCAATTCTATCAAAATGAAAGGCTGTGCATACTTTCTTAACTGAGAGAAATATTTTTCTCTGACTACGTCCACACAGGAACAGAATGCATGCACCTCTAGAATGCTAAGCAGTATGTACTGCAGGCTGCTGTTTTTAGGCACACTAGCAGTTGCTGTAGCTGAGAAAGAGGCTTCATGTTGATATGGTTTTAAAAAACTAATCATTTTAGGTCGTTAGGAGAACTTACTGTGAACAGGCCCTTTTATTGCTTCAAAAGATGTCTCCCATTTCAAGCAAGCAACACCCATGCCTGAGGTATGTACATATCAAGTGTCTACTGGGGAGATTTCATTGTGTTCCTGATCCTACATGGGGGTGCAATATTGCCACATGGTGGAAATGCTCACTTCTGACCTTTCAAAATGACTATGCTTGCATGCTCATTGTTAAGACAACAAATCTGATCTTTCTGCCCCCAAATTTAAGGGCATTAGTGGCTGTGTATTGAAATGGGTGTTGTGACTAAAACCTTAATTAAGCCATAGGGGATGTTTGTGAACTGTGTATGTAAAGTTTTAATTCTGGTGAAAATCAGACCTCATGGTGGAGCGGGGCTTGGCTTTGTTTGCTCTCCAGTGTTTTCTGCCTTTTTTTCCCCCTGTTACCCATCTCCCAGCGGACTGTGTTCCTTTCTGTCTTGCCTGTGAGGCTGCTCCTCTCTAATAAGCCTAACTGCAGGATCAGTGTGTTCTTTTTGGCATTTCAAAATGTTAAAATAGTGAAATTGTTAAATGTTATCCAGATGAAACTGCTCAGAATGAAATTTTCCAAAAGAACCATGATATTTGTGACATATTATGTATTACAGACAATTCTGAAGGAAAACTCTATGAATCTTTTTATCTATTTTCTCAAGAAGGAAGCAGCCTCATTGATTGTGTTGATAAGTGTTTAGTATGCTCTGTCAGCTTATTAATTACGAAAGCAAATCCTGTGAAACTCTCCAAAACAATCTATGACATTCTCCTGTGCTGTGACTTAGAATTAACATTAACCACCAGGATATTTAGACCGGTTCCTTGGTTGTCTTGTGTATTGGTCTTTGAAATTGGAGTTGCATTTACTATATAAGAAGAAAGTATTATGAAATAGAGCTTATAATGGCAGTTTAGAGTTCATGACACTTACTAAATGCTTCTTCCCAGAAAACAGTTGGCCTGATAAATAATTTCCCATAACTAGCTATTCAGGAATTTATAAGGAAAAAAGTAGCAAATTGAATTTAAATATACCTAATAACACATAATTAGTAAAGAGCAATTTGGTCATAGCTTCTTGAATTTGGTTAGTGAGATGGAGTCTCTCTTCTAGGATGCTGCTTGTTATTCTTGGGGGTAATTGTGTTAGGTTAGTTGCATAAGGAACACAGTTCAGAGCTTGGGTTCCCAGAATTTTTAAAGGATGTTGGGTCTTCCTAGTTGAAGACTTGTCTATCCTATTTTGGCAGCCATCATTTCTGACTGATCCGGTAGAGTGAAACCAGCCTCTGGGTTTAAATTATTTATAATTCTGTTTTTTTATTTTTTTCTGTAAACCAAGACTGCACAGTTTTTGAAAAGCTACCAGGGCTGAGTCACAGACTGCATACCTGTATTTTCAGAGTTGTGCTTATTTTTCTCTTACTGCCTGGTAGATAATGAAAAGGACACAAGGAAATAAAAACATCATTTATATATTTAAACTATGGATTTTGTTTCTTCTTCTCCAGATCTCCAGTTCTCTCCCAATCTTGTTCTTATAAAAATGTTAACTTTATGTTGTAAGTGTACAGACTCTGTTTTGTGTGGGTTGGGACTTCAACACTTCACCACTGAATTGCTAATTCTTTAATAACTATTTAATTCACTTAGCTGTATGTTCTCAGATTAGATTAGATTCATCTTATAAAGTTCACTTCAGATTCTAAAATATTTCTTAGACTAAAACAAGTAATAAATGTCATCCAACTCTCAATGCTCTCAAACTCTTTACTGCCTAAGGTACAAAACTGAATGTGTAGACACACTTTTGTACCTATGCATGAACAAACTTTTTCATTGATGTGTATTATAAATAAGATAAAAAATTAGGTATACATTGACTTTTAGATATGTGAAAATACCATTCTGATTTTTAAATGAATACTGCAATGTTGGGAAAATGTCCAAGTTTAAAGCAACTATACAGATGGACCAGAAGACTCCAAGCAAAAGGAAGTATTCATGTTGAATTAAAACAAGGCTGTTTTGTTTTCCAGGATAGGTGGAGATCTGCTCTAGTCTTATGCCCTGAGAATCTTGTGCATACTCTAGAATGACGGTGAGCATCACCACATTTGATTACAACTTTATCATAAACACCAATGTTTATGACAAATATCAACATTTATGATGATATTTAAGGCAGCTTTCTGCCTGTCTTGATAATTTATATTTTTGGACATTAGAATTATACCAATTGGCAGAAAAATCATAAAGCACATGTTAAAATAGCCCCCATTTGCTTTATATTTCAAATGTTATCATGTTATTACAAAGATGTTCAAACAATAGGAATATGGGCGAGTGAAAGAGGACCGTTAACTTTAGTACTGGCCCATCACCTCTTACCGTTATCAATTGCTTAATGTTACATGAATGTTTTCCTTGAGCTTGACACATGGATAATAGGTGTGTTTATGATAGATGGGTAATAACAGGTCAGAGCCATTCCTTGAGTGAAATCAGTGTGATTACCTATAATTTGGAGCAGAAAATACCTACTAAAAGCTTTCCTGGGTTATGTTTCTTCCCCCAAACAGGGTATCCTGGCAGAATAGATTACATTCTAACACAGAATTTTCTCTAAGGCATCTAGTTGCATGTACAAATGTTCTTGCTCCCCCACTGGTACTTTCCCCGTGTTTAAGGACTTCTCCTCATAGATGAGTGTTGAACAATATTGGGACAGACTTTGATTGGAAAGTGACCATGGAATTCTTGAGGACTACAGTAGTTGATATTTTTAAAGTTTTTTTTTCCTTTTTTCTTTTTTAAGGAAGAACTGTTTGTTTCCCAAACATGAGCAAAAGTGGCCTGACATTTGTCCTGGTAATGACCTGAGTTCTGCTCTGGCCTCAGCTGGAGAGTTTTTTTTTTTTCTTTTCACCTGTACTTTAAGAATACTTTCGAAGTCTTGCTTTCTTTGTCATGTGTGTTGGAACTCTTTATATGCAAGCTCCTGGTTTTCAGACAAACATTTGTTTGTATCTCATTGTGCTGCCTCCATCACTGCACCATTTTGTACTTTTGAATAAGTTTCATAAATGAGACTGCAATTTTTGGAGGGGAAAACAGAGTGAGTTTAATCTCTTCTAACTCAAAGAGTTTTCTCCTCAATGGTATAATATCTTATTATTTAATGTTACCTTCCTTGCATTCTTAGTTATCTATAGTTATAAAAGCCGAATAGAGTTGATCCTTTTGACTTGATTCCTTACTACATTTTATTAACTCTAAGTAGCATTTAAAAAATATTTTTTAACTCTGGGAGAAAAGGTGCAGTATAATTTCCTATATTTGATAATGTAATATCTATTTTTTTCCTACTAGCAAATTCCATGTTATTGCTTTTTAAAGAAAAGCAGAGGCATCTTTCAGAGCTGTGCCAGGCAATCTGTTGTGGTTTAATATACTGACAAATGCTCTCACAAACTGTATATGTATATTTAAATATAATTAAAATACAACGTAACGAGGATTTTCAGTCTTTCAGAGCTTGTGCTTCAATGGGAAGGTTCCTCTCTAACCCTTACGATTTCTTTAGCCGTTATTTGGAGCCATACTTTTAAACAAGAAAATTGTAGTCAGTATGATAATTGAGTTGGAAGGAGTGCTGCATTCAGACTGCTGAGAAATCCTAGTATGCTTAACAATAATGAAAAATTGGGTCTTAAGTCCCTGCCTTTTTGGACATTTGTATTTGATAACTTTACAGTACTGATTCCTATAGCAGGTAAATCAATATTCTAAAATTTGAGGTACTCTGTCTTTGCCATTCATATTTGCTTTTCATACAGCATTCTTTAAAAATCAAATCTATCTATTCTTGTAAGAGACACTCAGTTGAATGCTTTGAGACTATTTTGTCTGGTTAAAATATCAACTAATTTCAATGTGTCACCAGCCAGAATTCATATATTCTCTTTACTCCTTGCACAAGTAATGAGCACATAACCGAAATAGGAAAACAAACAAACAAACAAACAACCAAAACAAAAAAAACTCTTTTCCAAGAATTCTGTAAGTCCTTCCTCTGTGGGAATTTGGCTTTGGGAATATTCAGCTGCATTGAGAAGTATCATCTACTTCTCAGAAAACTAAGAGGGAATAATGATAAAGAAACCCGGGATTCATCTTCATTGTAATAATCAGGAAATGGTTGCTCAGAGCTTATACATTTGAATATTTTTGGATTATATTTCTACATGCTTATAGCTCCTAGGTACTTAAAAAAGATACCAGTTGTAGGTTGTACTGCTATTAGGCGCTAGTAGCAAAAGTCTACAGTGAGTCACTGCCTCTGCAAAGTCTCCATGTTCATTTCTTGTGACACATTACTTTATGGTTAGGGAGTAAAGAACAGACACAAATGTTTCCCGCATAAGAAAAATGAGCTGAGGTGTTACTTTCTTTGACTTTCTAAAAATTCTTCTATGCTCAGCAGTTAAAAGTTTCCTTCTCAATGTTGTTTGAGAAATGTATAGCAATCCTATAAAGCTGGTCATAGGGTTTGTAAATGTAACTGGAAAAAAATGGTAAGAGTTTCTTCATTTGTGTGTGTCTACTGGGTCAGTGCGTATTGCATCTTGAAGTTATTTTACTGGATAAAATAAGTAACAGGAAGTTTCCTGAAAAAGTCTAGAGGAACCCTGAACTGTAGTCAAAACATTGAGGGGTTCCCCAACCCTACCCTCATTTGCTGGTTAGACAGCTGCTCCTGTGTTCCAGCTGGGAAGGAGTACCCTGCTCCCCCCGCCCCGCCCGCCCTCTGCCTTGTGCAAGCTCTCCTCACACCCTGTTTCATGCACTCAGCACCCGACTCATAAACAGTCTATCCTTTCACGCAGACTCCCGGCTTCTTTAAGCATAGCTGTCCGTTGCCCCATTGGGTCTTTTTTCATGGGTTTCCTAACTTTAACCAGTAGATCTTAAATTTCAGAAATATTTCCTCGAGGCCTTGTTAGCAGTGCAGATGTGGCCAACTCTAGCATCTCTAACCCCATCGGTCCAAACTGA